AATCCAGATGACTATAAGCAGAATTACAAGACAGCCAGCTCTTCTCTAATATTTACAAGAGACTCCGCTTTTGTTATTGGTCCTCGAATCCAATGTCCCGGAAAAAGATGAATAAACGGTCAAGGCAAACTCTTAGAAAGTCCCTTCAGGACTTTTGGGTAAAATGGGGAGGTGTAAGGGAACGATATCCTACGGTGGCATATGCAGATGTTGACATATTTCTACAATCAGCATAGCTGAGAACGATCTGATAACAGTTGCCAACCGATATATAACAGATACATGAGACTGTAGGAGAGAGATCTCGGAACCCCCAGCTGCAGAGCGGCACGCTCACCTACAGATCATCTTGCACCAACCTCTGCTGTTTACTCTGTACCTTCATGTATTGTGTCTAGTAAATCATGTTATTACCACTGTGTATCGCCTACTAGCGAAGAAAATATCCATTGGGCCCAGATCTTACTATTGCCCATCGATGCATCAAAACGTGTGTCGCTAGTCGGACTCGAACCTTGGCCGCGCGCGTGTAATTCCAATCGCTTACCCATTTGACCAAACCAACTCAAGTGTTTCGTTATTCAAGAACGCACTTGATAGTAATATCTCGGAAGCAATCCGCATCCGGATCAATGGCTCGCCGGATGCTAGACTGAGGCGTGATGAGATCAACGCCGGTCCGCGTCGAGAGAGATGCCCTGATGGGGGGTTTACTACGGGCCTGTGTCTCCAACCTCAGCGGAAACGTTTCACTCTTCCAAATTTAAAATGAGAATTAGGCACCCTCCATACCTAATCCTCTTGATCCGCTGAATCCACTTGATCCGCTTAATCCGCTTCGTGTAAAACACGCGCACTCAGCAGTCTGTCATTTGGCGCCGCGTAGGTAAAAAGCAATCTCGTATGGTTAAGCAAATTCGCTGTACGTGACGCCAAATGACAGACTGCCGAGTGCGCGCGTTTTACACGAAGCGGATTAAGCGGATCAAGCGGATCAAGTGGATTAAGCGGATCAAGAGGATCAAGTATGGCGGATGCCTTAGGAAACACTGGTTTTCGCCATTTGCGCTACTTGAGGTAAATCTTTGGACTCTGCGCATCGGATTACCCCAAGGCCGCCCCCCCCCCCCCCCGACTTGAAGGCATGTTCCGCCGCCAGGTCGCCGTCAACTTTACGCGAAGTCGGCGGGAACACCGACCTCAAATCTATGCCCTCCAAAACCTTTTCACCACGATTTTCCTGGTCGAGGAGGTCATTGTGACCATAGAGAACCTCACTTGGCAATTGGAGTTTCTAAAAACCTCCCTGGACAAAGTTGTTCCGGTAGGCGGGAAGTGTGGCGGCAACTTCGCGAGCTGGCCTGGCGGCATCTTGTCGAAATTTTAGCGCTGAGGGATGCCGTCAGGTCAGAGAGCACGAGAAATACCGTGCTCATTTGAGAGATCAAGCCACCACCCCGACATGCCCCTACCACGTCGAGATGGCGGCACCTTGCTGACGGCGTCTGGAAGTTTGCGTCGCAGGCAATATCACACAATTTACGCTCAGCAGAAAAGCCAAAAAAATTTGTTTTCTGTCGAAAATCTATCATTTTTGCCATTATATGGTTTTTCTCCTCCAAATTAATGATATGTATGCACAAGAAACGACTACTGATATTATAACACCAGAAAGAGCGCCATTTTTATTTTGAAATTGCTTCAAACTCTCATTCGCAACGGTTTCGTCTCTCGCTCGCTCTTATCAATCAGCTGTTTTTTCAGGTCAACGTCCATCGCGCATTGTTGATCATGCTCGCATACAGGCGCTCACTAAGGCAGCGTTTCTATAATTGCTACCGCACATGCGAAATTTAACGAGTGTTCGAATGGTTATCGCGGCGGCGCTTGAGGTTGACGCACGCAGGTTCAAACTAGTGCGACGTCGCTGTTTTGCGGCTATCAGCGGCATCAAAATTGCATGTGCGCAGGACTGCGGAGTAAGACTATTTAAGACCATTAGATCAATCCGCGAGCTGCCGCCAGAGTTGGCAATTTTTCGTGATGTGTGCCAACTTGGCGGCACTATGATGCCACTAGGTAGGGTAGATTACTACCGCCCCAGGTAAGCAAAAAAATATAGCCCGAGGATTTGCCGAGCCACTCTGCCTTTCTGCCTTTACTCTGCCTTTTGATTGTATTGCACATGCTGTTCGGTACATATTCTAAAAGTGAGCAGCCTTCTCTCCCATAATGCCCAATGAGCAAAATTCAGTACCTTTACAGTTCCCATCAACACATTTGGTGCCTGGGCCGCAGTCGATAGTCGTCGTACACTTCTGCGCAAAGCAGGCTAAAATCATTAGTTTAGGCATATTGTTAGCTTCAGTCTTCTTAACCTTTGCTAGATTATCTTACCGCTGATTACTAGGGCAAGCAAGACGAAGACAGCCTTCATGCTGGTGATAGAATGAGAGTTGTTCGAGTGGAGATGAAGCCTAATCATGGCATTATATATCATGGGGACCGCTGGCGCATGCGATTATCGAAATGTGGTCCTCTCAAGTATGCCACGTACTTGCACATGACCACAATGTCAGATACCGAAGCAAAACATGCAAATTGTTGTGTTGGTTGGAGAGAGTGCGATTTGAGACTTGCGATTATGCATCGCGTCTTGTTAATGAAGTTGCAAGCGAATGCGTTCAAATTCTTGCATTCTTTATCTCACTTGAATTTTTCGAATGCTACATTGAGAATCTGAAGACCGTTGCTGTCAAGAGCAGCCGAACAATCGTAGACGTTCTACGGAGAACTGTCTGCTAACATTATACAGAAGAATTACCACAACAAATCATACGCGATCGATTCTTTTTATGCAAAGAAAGACGATGAGAAAGAAAGAGACCGTAGTGAAGGTGTAGAGGCTAAGGGTGCCTTCATACCGCGCCGGCAGCCGCCGCTAGCAGCCCGTAGCAGCCGTCAGTAGCCGCCAGCAGCCCGTGGCAGCCCATAGCCGCCGCTGGCCGCCTTTGTTTAGGAGCAAAATCGTCAAAATCTTACTACTTTAAGTGCTCCTGCCTACGCTTTTCATCTTCTACGCTTAGTTCTTCTTATTATCGCTAACTAGCTGGCTTACCCGGCTCCGCCGTATGTTCCGAATAGAAAATTCTATTTCTGAACCGATCGGGACCAAACTTGGCACACACACACTTCGGGCCCCGGCGAGTGCCACAGTCCACTTTTCGTTATCGATCGTTATCGATTTTATCGATTTTTTGCAAAATTTGAGCTACAGGGCTGGGAGTTGGCACAGGGGGGTAATCGAGCATGCTGATCACCCCCGTGGGGGTAATCAGCATGCTCGATTACCCCCCTGCCAAATTCCAGCCCCCTGGCTCAAATTGCCGCCGTTGAACAGTGTCAAGCCTGCTGAATAGGAATGTAGCAAGTGGCTCCGATAAATCCATTGAGTGTTTGTAGTTTCCTTTTCTCCACTCTGGCGGCACGCATGGTGTTAAACCTCGTTATGGAATTACAAGCCCATGAAAGATGCAGTTTTGGCTGTAATTATAGTTAACTAGCTGGCTTACCCGGCTCCGCCGTATATTCCGAATAGAAAATTCCATTTCTTAACCGATCCGGACCAAACTTGGCACACCTACACTTCGGGCCCCGGCGGGTGCCAGGGCCCAAAGTGCATGCTGATCACCCTCACGGGGGGGGGGGGGGGGGGTAATCGAGCATGCTGATCACCCCGTGGGGGTAATCGAGTGCATGCTGATCACCCTCACGGGGGGGGGGGGGGGTAATCGAGCATGCTGATCACCCCGTGGGGGTAATCAGCATGCTCGATTACCCCCCCCCCCGTGAGGGTGATCAGCATGCACTTTGGGCCCTGGCACCCGCCGGGGCCCGAAGTGTAGGTGTGCCAAGTTTGGTCCGGATCGGTTAAGAAATGGAATTTTCTATTCGGAATATACGGCGGAGCCGGGTAAGCCAGCTAGTTAACTATAATTACAGCCAAAACTGCATCTTTCATGGGCTTGTAATTCCATAACGAGGTTTAACACCATGCGTGCCGCCAGAGTGGAGAAAAGGAAACTACAAACACTCAATGGATTTATCGGAGCCACTTGCTACATTCCTATTCAGCAGGCTTGACACTGTTCAACGGCGGCAATTTGAGCCAGGGGGCTGGAATTTGGCAGGGGGGTAATCGAGCATGCTGATTACCCCCACGGGGGTGATCAGCATGCTCGATTACCCCCCTGTGCCAACTCCCAGCCCTGTAGCTCAAATTTTGCAAAAAATCGATAAAATCGATAACGATCGATAACGAAAAGTGGACTGTGGCACTCGCCGGGGCCCGAAGTGTGTGTGTGCCAAGTTTGGTCCCGATCGGTTCAGAAATAGAATTTTCTATTCGGAACATACGGCGGAGCCGGGTAAGCCAGCTAGTTAGCGATAATAAGAAGAACTAAGCGTAGAAGATGAAAAGCGTAGGCAGGAGCACTTAAAGTAGTAAGATTTTGACGATTTTGCTCCTAAACAAAGGCGGCCAGCGGCGGCTATGGGCTGCCACGGGCTGCTGGCGGCTACTGACGGCTGCTACGGGCTGCTAGCGGCGGCTGCCGGCGCGGTATGAAGGCACCCTTAGCCTCTACACCTTCACTACGGTCTCTTTCTTTCTCATCGTCTTTCTTTGCATAAAAAGAATCGATCGCGTATGATTTGTTGTGGTAATTCTTCTGTATAATGTTAGCAGACAGTTCTCCGTAGAACGTCTACGATTGTTCGGCTGCTCTTGACAGCAACGGTCTTCAGATTCTCAATGTAGCATTCGAAAAATTCAAGTGAGATAAAGAATGCAAGAATTTGAACGCATTCGCTTGCAACTTCATTAACAAGACGCGATGCATAATCGCAAGTCTCAAATCGCACTCTCTCCAACCAACACAACAATTTGCATGTTTTGCTTCGGTATCTGACATTGTGGTCATGTGCAAGTACGTGGTATACTTGAGAGGACCACATTTCGATAATCGCATGCGCCAGCGGTCCCCATGATATATAATGCCATGATTAGGCTTCATCTCCACTCGAACAACTCTCATTCTATCACCAGCATGAAGGCTGTCTTCGTCTTGCTTGCCCTAGTAATCAGCGGTAAGATAATCTAGCAAAGGTTAAGAAGACTGAAGCTAACAATATGCCTAAACTAATGATTTTAGCCTGCTTTGCGCAGAAGTGTACGACGACTATCGACTGCGGCCCAGGCACCAAATGTGTTGATGGGAACTGTAAAGGTACTGAATTTTGCTCATTGGGCATTATGGGAGAGAAGGCTGCTCACTTTTAGAATATGTACCGAACAGCATGTGCAATACAATCAAAAGGCAGAGTAAAGGCAGAAAGGCAGAGTGGCTCGGCAAATCCTCGGGCTATATTTTTTTGCTTACCTGGGGGCGGTAGTAATCTACCCTACCTAGTGGCATCATAGTGCCGCCAAGTTGGCACACATCACGAAAAATTGCCAACTCTGGCGGCAGCTCGCGGATTGATCTAATGGTCTTAAATAGTCTTACTCCGCAGTCCTGCGCACATGCAATTTTTGATGCCGCTGATAGCCGCAAAACAGCGACGTCGCACTAGTTTGAACCTGCGTGCGTCAACCTCAAGCGCCGCCGCGATAACCATTCGAACACTCGTTAAATTTCGCATGTGCGGTAGCAATTATAGAAACGCTGCCTTAGTGAGCGCCTGTATGCGAGCATGATCAACAATGCGCGATGGACGTTGACCTGAAAAAACAGCTGATTGATAAGAGCGAGCGAGAGACGAAACCGTTGCAAATGAGAGTTTGAAGCAATTTCAAAATAAAAATGGCGCTCTTTCTGGTGTTATAATATCAGTAGTCGTTTCTTGTGCATACATATCATTAATTTGGAGGAGAAAAACCATATAATGGCAAAAATGATAGATTTTCGACAGAAAACAAATTTTTTTGGCTTTTCTGCTGAGCGTAAATTGTGTGATATTGCCTGCGACGCAAACTTCCAGACGCCGTCAGCAAGGTGCCGCCATCTCGACGTGGTAGGGGCATGTCGGGGTGGTGGCTTGATCTCTCAAATGAGCACGGTATTTCTCGTGCTCTCTGACCTGACGGCATCCCTCAGCGCTAAAATTTCGACAAGATGCCGCCAGGCCAGCTCGCGAAGTTGCCGCCACACTTCCCGCCTACCGGAACAACTTTGTCCAGGGAGGTTTTTAGAAACTCCAATTGCCAAGTGAGGTTCTCTATGGTCACAATGACCTCCTCGACCAGGAAAATCGTGGTGAAAAGGTTTTGGAGGGCATAGATTTGAGGTCGGTGTTCCCGCCGACTTCGCGTAAAGTTGACGGCGACCTGGCGGCGGAACATGCCTTCAAGTCGGGGGGGGGGGGGCGGCCTTGGGGTAATCCGATGCGCAGAGTCCAAAGATTTACCTCAAGTAGCGCAAATGGCGAAAACCAGTGTTTCCTAAGGCATCCGCCATACTTGATCCTCTTGATCCGCTTAATCCACTTGATCCGCTTGATCCGCTTAATCCGCTTCGTGTAAAACGCGCGCACTCGGCAGTCTGTCATTTGGCGTCACGTACAGCGAATTTGCTTAACCATACGAGATTGCTTTTTACCTACGCGGCGCCAAATGACAGACTGCTGAGTGCGCGTGTTTTACACGAAGCGGATTAAGCGGATCAAGTGGATTCAGCGGATCAAGAGGATTAGGTATGGAGGGTGCCTAATTCTCATTTTAAATTTGGAAGAGTGAAACGTTTCCGCTGAGGTTGGAGACACAGGCCCGTAGTAAACCCCCCATCAGGGCATCTCTCTCGACGCGGACCGGCGTTGATCTCATCACGCCTCAGTCTAGCATCCGGCGAGCCATTGATCCGGATGCGGATTGCTTCCGAGATATTACTATCAAGTGCGTTCTTGAATAACGAAACACTTGAGTTGGTTTGGTCAAATGGGTAAGCGATTGGAATTACACGCGCGCGGCCAAGGTTCGAGTCCGACTAGCGACACACTTTTGATGCATCGATGGGCAATCTTTGATAGCGGCTACCACGCAATCGATGTGACCGCTATCAAGGATTTCGCCTAGCAAATGCACGGATAAAACGAAAGCACAATTTGTGACGAAAATTTTATGAAAAAACGAAATGATCGCAGTGTGAATTTAATGAAATGAATAAACGAGTTCTTGTATTGGACAGCTAGTGAAAAAAAAACCAGTAAGGTTTACAAAAAAAGAAGAATTTGTTTTTTTGTTATCCTCGCCAAAATCAGCCGTTCATCGATCCTCTCCTTTTCGGGCGCGGGTTGTGCAGTTTTGCGCAAATTTTGTCTGCATTTTTAGCCTGACTGATGTGTATCGTAAGTTACTCAGGAGCAACTTACGGGAGTCTTGCCTGCGTCTCCTCTTTTACGCACTATTTGCATCACTCTAACATCAGTTCACGTTCAGGTCATTTGAACGTGAACTGATGTGGAAGAGTTGACTGCAATAGGTGGACAGATGGTCAACTATCAGTTCACTCTCCATTCTTATAGCATGGGAGGGTGGGCGGTCATCAGTTCACCTGACGTGAGGTGAACTGATGGGATAAGTTCAGTTCACCTGAACTGATCGAGCTTTACTACGGGCCACAGAGTCGTTGCAGAACCTTCATAGATATAATATTGCGACATGTCGCTCATGACAGTGGGGAACTAAATCGCGCGGTCGACCGGACGCGCCTAAAAATGGCTTGTGCGCACGGGTTTTGGGCAGTTTATTTTGGCGGGGCAGCATGCTGTACGCCTGGACTTGCTCTGTTTTCACATCTGCGGTGTAGGCAATCTACTGCATCAATTTTTCGACATGTTCTTCTTTGCCCCACTGTCTTTAAGCTTTTTATTTCATATAAAAAAGTGAGTTCATTCGCTTTTACAATGAGGAACAAGGCATCAGGTAGCCTGCGATCTTCGTACTCGCTTGTAAACAAACCCCTATTCCTACTTTTCAATTTATTATTGCGCTAAAGACAAGCCATGCAGTTTAGAAAGGCTTTAATAGTGAGCAAAACACATATAGCCGTTTGATCTTTGTGCAATGTTGCAGTCTTTGATTAAAACTGCCCTTTAAGTTCGACCCGAGTGTCCGATGTACACACCACCTCAACTGAAGCCGGGCTGCAAGCTGGAGACCGTTTTGGACGAAAAGGGATGCCCTAAGTACAAACAAGTTTGCTAGAATGTGAAGTAGTTAATAAATCTTTGCAATGAAGCCCTTGTATACAGAAGTATGTTGTGTTACAATATTGGCTAGTAATGTGAGAAAGTGAAGATATCGGACCTGTACCCTTTAATTCTGGCCTGGACAAGGACTCAGATAATCGCCGGGGGCAGGCGGCCATGCGAATTTTGAGCAAGCTGGCACCGGAAAAATAATTCGCTGACTTGCGGTTCGCCTGCAGAAATTTGGAATAATTCTGGCCGACTTGAACGAACGTTCGGAGAAAATACAGCGGTCTTTGCATGATTAAATTGCGGCCCAGTAGCCGCATTCTCGCGGGCTTTCCGCGCGCACAAAAAATTTCAGAGAGGAGCACTATTTCGGTTCTAAATAGCAAACCTGGAAAAAAATTTTGCAAAGTCAATGAGATTTCGTGGGTTGAGAGAAGCCGGCTTCCTAATGTAAGTCGATCCGCCTATAACCCTAATGATCAGATGTTCATCACGATAAAGGAGATATCTTCAAAATGGACTCAAATCAGTGTCGAAAGTGGACACTATTTTCTATTGAAAGATTAGAGATGACATATTCATATAACAATCTCTTATGTCATCTGATGGAATCGTTAACTTTTGGTTGCTTGGTAAGACAGACACTGTATTCCGCAGTTACAGCATAAAAAAGATATTTACAACAATTCAGGCGCTATTCGATAAGCATTCGTATAACTTTCTTTGCATTTCAGCTACGTCGAACTGTTTGGCTAAACTTTAGGTCTTGGTTTTTGTTCAAAATGTTCAATGCAAAATACCTTTGAGTGAAAACGGGAGTGTTTGGGGACTGAGTTTTACTTTATTTGAAGGCAACAAATAATTCATTATCCCACACAAGGAACTTTAGAGAAATGCTTTGCTGTAAGAATATCTAAATACTTCCGAAAATCTCTTTTTGCTTGATCTTTTTTTCTTTCAAAAGAAAAGATCTCACAACATGAAGGAAGATTTTAAGAGAAACTTAAGCCTTCCAGAAGCTATTATAGTGACGGAAGACGTGGATAATTCTGGGGAGATAAGAGAATATTTTTAGAAATAAGAGAACATGTTTATTACAGTGGGACACTCTCTTCAGCCATTTGTTTGGAGCTTAACGTTTAGTGCTCTTATTAAATGACAAATTTTATTCTTTATTGTCTGAACCAAAGAAAAACACATACAAGCTAGAACAGCAAGCATTGTTTGTAAGTTTTGTTACTCTATCTTTTGTGGTCAACTCTGCCCAATTGTTGGGCTAGAATCGCGCTGATTTTGGTTAGAATATGCTAAGTGGAGGTCAAGCGAGTTCTAGCTTTAACAGACCAAAAGGTTTCAGAAACCTTGTTTTGAGCGCGAAGATTCCCAACCTCCCAAAAAACTATATGTCCGCAACCGCAAAGCTGATTCCACGTGAAAGTCAATCACAACATAGGCTTCACGATGTAACTTTTGATCGATATCTACATCAAAGCTTGACGGACGTTCACCATATAAGTGCTATCCCTGAAAAGGACTCAGATCTCTTACTGCTTACCAACATTGGTTTGATTTTTTGTAGTGTTCGTTCCTTCACCTTCTTATACAGGACCTCAATGTTTACTCTTTCATCCACTTTTTCACTGATGCATTACGATGAGAAATTTCAATCCGATGAATTTGCAAAGTAGCTGCAATTTTGGAACGGTTGCAGAACATTTGATTTTTTTTTGTAATGGATTTTGAAGGTTCTACTCCCACTAAATAACTAAACGTTTGTGAAGCGGTTACAGCATGTGTTTAAGTTTTAAATTTCGGGAATGATGCTGGATGTACAAAAGGTGGTATCTCACATTGATTGTATGTGAATGGATGTCGCTATTACTTGGAGAATTAGCTCCTGCTCTCCTTCAATCAGCTTTTAGAAAGATTTTGATTCTTAATTGTAATTTCTTTTCTCAAAGATCATCTATCGTAACCCTACAGTTACGAAGAGCGCACGATGGATCATTCTGTACTGTATCTGAAATGAAGCTAAGTCAGAATGGTAAGGTCTGCGAAAGAGGTTAGGATAAGAGAGGCCGTAAGCGACCAAACAGTGGGGACATTTC